CCCCAGCACGACCACGCCCAGCACGACCACGCCCCAGCACGACCACACCCCAGCACGACCACCCCCAGCACGACCACACCCCAGCACGACCACACCCCAGCACGACCACACCCCAGCACCAGCACGACCACACCCCAGCACGACCCGATCGATAAATCACAGGGTGCGGACCACCCCAGCACGACCACACCCCAGCACGACCCCACCCCAGCACGACCCCACCCCAGCACGACCCCGCCCCAGCACGACCACACCCCAGCACGACCACACCCCAGCACGACCACACCCCAGCACGACCCCACCCCAGCACGACCCCACCCTAGCACGACCACACCCCAGCACGACCACACCCCAGCACGACCCCACCCCAGCACGATCACACCCCAGCACGACCCCACCCCAGCAAGACCACACCCCAGCACGACCGCACCCCAGCACGACCTTACCACAGCACGACCACACCCCAGCACGACCACGCCCCAGCACGACCCCGCCCCAGCACGACCACGCCCCAGCACGACCACGCCCCAGCACGACCACGCCCCAGAACGACCACACCCCAGCCCGACCACCCCCCTAGCACGACCACCCCCCAGCACGACCACCCCCCAGCACGACCACACCCCAGCACGACCACACCCCAACACGAACCACCACCGCCTTGGTTGAGTGGTTGCCTGTTCGTCGGGTGTGGAATGTTTCGTGGGTGTGTCTCGTGGATGTTTCGCGGGGTGTGTCTCGTGAAAATGTTTCGTGAGGTGTCTCGTGGAATGTTTCGTGAGGTGTTCGGGGCGTTTCGGCTGCTTCCTGCCGGGGATGTTTCGTGAGGTGTTGCCCGTTTGGGTATCGTGAAAACTGTCAGCTCCACATGTCTATTATCCCTTTCCGGTGGTCGTGGGGTCCATCATGTGTTTGTACGATTTCTTGGAATTTTGGCAGGATGTCTCGAGCGAAATCACGACCCCACCCTAGCACGACCATACCCCAGCACGACCACACACAGCACGACCAGACCCCAGCACGACCCCACCCCAGCACGACCCCACCCTAGCACGACCATACCCCAGCAAGACCACACCCCAGCACGACCACACCCCAGCACGACCTTACCACAGCACGACCCCACCCCAGCACGACCACGCCCCAGCACGACCACGCCCCAGCACGACCACGCCCCAGCACGACCACGCCCCAGCACGACCACGCCCCAGCACGACCACCCCCCAGCACGACCACCCCCCGAGCACGACCACCCCCCGGCACGACCACCCCCCAGCACGACCACACCCCAGCACGACCACACCCCAGCACGACCACACCCCAGCACGACCACACCCCAGCACGACCACACCCCAGCACCAGCACGACCACACCCCAGCACGACCCGATCGATAAATCACAGGGTGCGGACCACCCCAGCACGACCACACGCCAGCACGACCCCACCCCAGCACGACCCCACCCCAGCACGACCACGCCCCAGCACGACCACACCCCAGCACGACCACACCCCAGCACGACCACACCCCAGCACGCCAGCACGACCCCACCTAGCACGACCACACCCCAGCACGACCACACCCCAGAACGACCACACCCCAGCACGACCCCACCCAGCACGACCCCACCCCAGCACGACCACACCCCAGCACGACCACACCCCAGCAGGACCCCACCCCAGCACGACCCCACCCCAGCAAGACCACACCCCAGCACGACCACACCCCAGCACGACCTCACCACAGCACGACCACACCCCAGCACGACCACGCCCCAGCACGACCACGCCCCAGCACGACCACGCCCCAGCACGCACACCACACCCCAGCACGACCACGCCCCAGCACGACCACGCCCCAGCACGACCACCCCCAGCACGACGCCCCAGCACGCACACCCCAGCACGAACACACCCCAGCACGACCACCCCCCAGCACGACCACCCCCAGCACGACCACCCCCCAGCACGACCACCCCCCAGCACGACCACCCAGCACGACCACTCCCCAGCACGACCACACCGCCTTGGGTTGAGTGGTTGCCTGTCGTCGTGGAATGTTTCGTGGGGTGTCTCGTGGAATGTTTCGCGGGGTGTCTCGTGGAATGTTTCGTGAGGTGTCTCGTGGAATGTTTCGTGGGGTGTCTCGTGGGATGTTTCGTGAAGTGTCTCGTGGGATGTTTCGTGAGGTGTTGCCCAGTTGGGTATCGTGAAAACGTGTCCATGCTCCACATGTCTATATCCCTTTCCGGGTTCGTGGGTCCATCATGTTTGGTTGTTCGGTCCCGGGCCCCGGCGAGGGCCTCAAGGCGCTGGAAGCGGCCAACTTTTCCTGCCGTGGTTTTCACCGCGAGAGACGGTCTGGGTACGCCGCCCTGCGGGGACGATGTTAGCCAAGATGTCGCGCGCAGGCGGCCTCTCCAAGGGGAGAGCCTGAGGCCTACCGCGTCACCATCGCCGGTGCCCGCTTCTGCGCGGCATCTACGAGGGTCAACCCCCTGGTCGGCCCCACCCCAGAGGTGCTCGTCAGGACGGCAGCTCGCGCTGCGCCGTCCTCCCTCCTCCTGCCCCTGGGTGCTGGGGGAGGAGAGGGGATCCGATGGGGGGGAGGAGAAGAGGCATTACGAATGATGATGATGATGATGATGATGATGATGATGATGATGATGATGATGATGATGATGATGATGATGATGATGCTGCTGCTGATGTCGATGATGATAATGACGCTGATATATGCTGATGATGAGGATGATGTTGCTGATGTTGATGATACTGTTGCTGCTGATGATGATACTGATACTGATGCTGCTGATGCTGCTGATGCTGATGATGATGCAGATGATGCTGATGCTGATGATGATGCTGATGATGATGAGGATGAGGATTAGGATGTGGATGATGATGATGATGATGATGATGATGATGAGGATGAGGATGAGGATGATGCTGATGATGCCGATGATGATGATGCTGCTGCTGATGATGATGAGGATGAGGATGAGGATGAGGATTATGCTGCTGATGATGATGCTGATGCTGATGTTGATGTTGATGATGATGATGATGCTGATGATGATGATGATGATGATGATGATGATGATGATGATGATGATGATTCTCTTGTGGCGATAACTCTCGTTATCCGATCCTGCGGCTGACTGGCATGGCACCGAGCTGCAACAGACTGGAGCGTGCGTGCGTCTGCGAACTCCCCACTCAGCCGACCCAGCTACGGACAAACGCGATGATGTCCCTCCTGGGAGATGCCAAGGAGCAGATGGTCAACCATGAAAAAATCCACGGCATCATACGTGCTCTCGCAACTCCGTAAGCCATCACGTCCGTAAGCACCTCATCCCCCGCTGGAATGCCCACGGAAGTGCCGCCAGAAAAAGGCTCGCCCCCGCCGGCGCTGGTGAACTCCAGACTTCAGGTGTTGCGGAGGCCAAGGCGGCCGTAGCTCCCATTGTTCCCATTGATCCTATGGCAAGATTGCGTACGGCTTCGATCGCCAAGTACTTCAGGTAGCTGTAAGTCATGAAATCCCGTGGTACGAGCTGGTAACCGACAACGACTCCGCAGGTGAGGGTGAGGGTAGTGAGGAACAGGAACACGGAAGTAGGCAAAATGACCACGCCCTGAGAAGTCCGTTCGTCTTTACGAAGTGCAGCTGTTCGGACAGAAACCTCTGGGCAAGGGTCAGCAAACATGGAACCAACGTCAGAATCACTGTCGGTAGCTTCGTGGTGAACGCCGATATCTCCTCAGGCCATCTTCTGCACGAGCTGGAACAGAAGGCGTGCCCGTTCTTCTTTGGCTCGCGGTACCTTGGTCGTGGGGCCGCCCATGCGCTTGATGCCATCGTCCAGGCGCTGCACCACGGCCCTCTGCGACCACTTGCTCCAGATCTCTTTGATGAGCTCCTCCAGCGTGCCCTCGGTGAGCTTCACCTTGTGGTCCAGCTCCGCGCAGATGAGGTGGCGCTGGAGCGGGGTGAGCACCTCGGGTGCGGTGCCCACAGGGGGGGCCGCGCCCGCGGGGGCGGCCCCCGAGCTCCCACTGGCAGGCGCCGTCAGCGGGGGCGGCGGCGGGAACTCCGCCGTGGGGGCCGTGCTCGTGACAGCACTCACCATGGCCGCCTGCAGGCCTGGTGCCAGAGCCTCCGCCAGGATGCGCCCCTGCCTCGCGAACTCCTCGTCCCTCTTCTCGGCCTCCTTGGTCCTCACGTACTCACGGTACGACGGGTCCTTCTTCCACATGATGCGCTCCGCCAGCTTCAACTGCTTGTCCGAGTCGTAGGACGATGATGATGTAGAAGACGACGACCTCGGCCTCTTCTTGTCCTTCTTGCTCTTCTTGTGCTTGCGACGGCTCCTATTGCGTCCGCCATCTCTTGAGTCTTGGTGTTGATCAGGTTTGACCCACGGCCACCGATACTGATCTCCTCCAGGTCCGTTCCGTTGATCGAAGCCCTGGCCACGGCCACCACCTCCTTTGCTGCCGCCTCCCATCGCCCCAAGGGAAGGCAGGAACAGCTTGCCCCAGGAGCACAAAACCTGCCTCGCGAGCCGCACTGCTGGGGACGGAGGCAAAGAATGAGATAATGCACGCACGACCTCGAAGGGATAAGACAACTTGATAAGCTCGATAAACAACTCCATGATGATGATTATGCTGCTGCTGCTGACGATGATGATTCTGGTGATGATGATGATGATGATGATGATGATGATGATGATGATGATGATGCTGATGATGATGATGATGCTGCTGCTGATGATGATGATGATGATGATGATGATGATGATGATGATGATGCTGACGATGAGCTCCACCCAAGCCCAAATAGTGCCGCCCGCATGCGTCCCCACGCCCATTTCGGCACGCTCCTCCACGCGTTTCGTGGCCCCACAGGGAACTCCCAAGGCCCGCGTGGTGCCGCCCGCATGCGGTCCCGCGCCCATTTCGGCACGCCCGTCACGCGTTTCGGGGCCCCATGGGGAGCTCCGCCACGGTTCCGCCCGCATGCGGTCCCGCACCAATGTCGGCACACACTTCGCATGTTTCGTGTCTCCGCAGGGGGCTCCACCCAAGTCCTGCACGGTGCCGCCCGCGTGCGGTCCCGTCACCCATTTCGGCACAATGCTCCCACGTTTTGGTTACCCGCATGTGGCCCTGCACTGATTTCGGCACACCCTTCACGCGGTTCGTGGCCCCACGAGGAGCACCGAATGCCCAAATGGTGGCGCCCGCGTGTAGTCCCGCATCCAGATGGTCACGCCCCTCACGCGTTTCGTGGCCCCACAGGGAGCTCCACCCAAGGCCCCAATAGTGCCGCCCGCATGCGCCCGCCCCGCCCTTTCCGACACGCGCACACACACAACACACAACACACACAAGCACATACACACAAACACACAGACACACAAACACACAAACACTCAACACACACAAACACGTATCACACAAACACACAAACACACAAACACAAACACACACACACACAACCACACAAACACACAACCACACAACACACACAGCACACACACGCACACACACACACGCACACACACCACACACCACACAACACACACACCCCCCCCCACACACACACACACACACGCGCACGCACGCACGCACGCACGCACGCACACACACGCAAACGCACGCACACACACCACACACCACACACACACACACACGTACGCACGCACGCACGCACGCACTCACGCACGCACGCACACACACTCGCACACGCACACGCACACGCACACGCACACGCACACGCAAACACACACACACACACACGCACACGCACACGCACACGCACACGCACACGCACACGCACACGCACACGCACACGCACACGCACACGCACACGCACACGCACACGCACACGCACACGCACACGCACACGCACACGCACACGCACACGCACACGCACACGCACACGCACACGCACACGCACACGCACACGCACACGCACACGCACACGCACACGCACACGCACACGCACACGCACACGCAAACGCACACGCACACGCACACGCACACGCACACGCCACGCGCACACGCACACGCGCACACACACGCACACGCACACGCACACGCACACGCACACGCACACGCACACGCACACGCACACGCACACGCACACGCACACGCTCACGCTCACGCCCACGCACACGCACACGCACACGCACACGCACACGCACACGCACACGCACACGCACACGCACACGCACACGCACACGCACACGCACACGCACACGCACACGCACACGCACACGCACACGCACACGCACACGCACACGCACACGCACACGCACGCGCACACGCACACGCGCACGCACACGCACACGAACACGCCCACGCCCACGCCCACGCCCACGCACACGCACACGCCCACGCACGCACCCACGCCCACGCCCACGCCCACGCCCACGCCCACGCCGCGCCACGCACACGCCCCGGCCCAGCCCACGCCCCGGCCCCGCCAACGCCCCCGCCCCCGCCCACGCACACCACACGCACACGCACACGCACACGCACACGCACACGCACACGCGCACGCGCACGCGCACGCACACGGCGCACGCACCCACGCCACCAAGCACACGCACCGCACCGCACACGCACGCACACGCACACGCACACGCACACACGCACACGCACACGCACACGCCACACGCACACACGCCCAACGCCCACGCCCACGCCCACGCCCACGCCCACGCCCACGCCCACGCCCACGCCCACGCCCACGCCCACGCCCACGCCCACGCCCACGCCCGCGCCCACGCCCACGCCCACGCCCACGCCCACGCCCCTTTCCCCGCGAACGCCTCGCACAGTGAATCTCAGCGTTCAGTGGTCGAACCCGTTGTGGAGCGGCCTCGAGTACGACCTCGGCTCGGAGAGGGAAACCATCCTCCTCCACATCAACTCGACCCTGGCCAGGCTCCCACTCCCCGCGGTCCGTTATATTTCGATGAGCGACCGCGAGATCGAGTTAGCCAAGCTCCCGGGGGGCCTGGATCAACATGTGCCGTAGACTGTTTAGAGCTTTCGATTTGGCAATCAAGAGCGTCCTTCAGTCATTCTTGTTTGGACAGTGAGCCTAGTCACAATAATAATGATCTTGTAGGGGCACTGGCGAGGGCGGGCGAGGGGCTTGCTCTCAGTTTTGGTGTGTCCCAAGGTCTCTTCTCACTGCAGAGGGGTCCGAGCACATTTTGTGCACTGGGCGCAGGGCCAAACTGTGGTGTCATTGGTAGCTCGCGAGCGGAGGCGGGATGAGCTCGGCGGCAAGCCTGTAATAGCAAGCCAAGCGATTTTATTGAATTTCTCGCCTCCTATTGTACAAATTCCAGGTGTGGGTCTAAACGGACACCATCATGGGATAATAGCCGTAGAGCATGAGTATCGATGTGGGACCTGACAGTTTGAGGGGGGGTCGTGGAATTGTTCTTTTCTGGAGCCTCGGGGCCCGTAGGGTCGTGCGGATTGTGGGCCAAATTCCCGGCCTTGTGCCCCCGGCCCCGCAAAACGGGAGGGCTCGGTGGCTTGATTTCTGTTTGCCCCCGAAGGTGATTGCCCTCGCGTGTGCCGCGCGGCCTGCTCCGCAACCGTATCATGGCTCCTCTCGTCTCAGATTCTCGCGGCCCCCCCACCGTCCCCCGCCGAGCCGAGCTCGGCGGAAAGCCTGTAATTAGCAAGCCAAGCGATTTTATCGAACTTTTCGCCTCCTATTGTAAAAATTCCAGGGTTGGGTCTAAACGGACACCATCATGATAACGATGATGATGATGATGATGATGATGATGATGATGATGATGATGATGATGATGATGATGATGATGATGATGATGATGATGATGATGCTGATGCTGATGATGATGCTGATGATGATGATGATGATGCTGATGATGATTATGCTGATGATGATTATGATGATGATAATGATTGATGATGACGATGATGATGATGATGATGCTGATGATGCTGATGATGATGATGATGATGATGATGGTGGTGGTGATGATGATGATGATGATGATGATGATGCTGGTGGTGGTGATGGTGTTGATGATTACGATGGTGCTGATGCTGATGATGACGCTGATGATGATGCTGATTATGCTGATGATGATGCTGATGCAGATTCTGATGCTGCTGCTGATGCTGCTGCTGTTGATGATGATGCTGATGATGATGGTGGTGGTGGTGGTGGTGGTCAAGTAATGATGATGATGATGAGGAGGAGGAGTGGTGGTCAGGTGATGATGAGGAGGAGGAGGGGGAACAGGACGAGGAGGAAGAGGAGGGGGAGCAGGAGGAGGAGGAGGAGGAGGAGGAGGAGGAGGAGGAGGAGGAGGAAAAATAATAGTAATAAGAATAATAAGATAAACAAGATGAGTTGGAGGAGGAGGGGGAGGAGGAGGGGGAGGAGGAGGAGGAGGAAGAGGAGGAGGAGGAAGAGGAAGAGGAGGAGGAGGAGGAGGAGGAGGAGGACGAGGAGGAGGAGGAGGAAATAATGAGGAGGAGGGAGGAGGAGGAGGAGGAGGAGAGGAGGAGAGGAGGAGGAGGAGGAGGAGGAGGAGGAGGAGGAGGAAGAGGAGGAAGAGGAGGCAGGAGAGGAGGAGGGGGCAAGGAGGACGCCCTCCTGACGCTTTCTAGCTTCTCCGCCCTCCCCCCCCCGCGTCCCCCGCTGTCGTCTCTCCCTCCCCGTCCGGCGCTTTCTCCGCACCGCGCCTCCCCCGTCCCGATATTCGTCCCGCATGTTCTCTCGGCCCCCTCGCCCGTCCGCCGCCGCCGCCGCAGTCGCCGTCGCCGTCGCCGCCGCCGTCGCCGTCGCCGTCGCCGTCGCCGTCTCTGCCGCCGCCGCCGCCGCTGCCGCCGCCGCCGCCGCCGCCGTCGTCGTCGTCGCCGCTGCCGCCGCTGCCGCCGCCGCCGTCGTTGTCGTCGTCGTCGTCGTTGTCGTCGTCTGCGCCGCCGCCGCCGCGGCCTGCTCCTGTGGCGTCCTGGGAGTGGCCTTGCGCAGGATGGGCGCGAAGCAGGCCACCCTCATTAGGGACCGCTGGGAGCTGTGGCGGCTCGTGGTGCCCGTGTACCTCCCTGGTGCGGGCGGGCAGTCAGGGAAGGACAGACATGCCGATACCGATTCGAGAATACTCAAACGCTGCGTACAACATCGGCTCCGTGTGCTCCGCCGTTTCGATCCGTTTTCCTTGCTTCCCTTTTCCTGCTCCCGCCTGGCATGCCGCAGTTGTTCTGGGACAGCAATTTGGGTTGTTTGCGCAATGAGGCCAAAAGTGGGAAGGGGAGCGGGCTAGCGACGGGTCCCGCTTTCATGCAACATCGGCGCGCTGCGTCGTCAAAGCCGGCGGCACTGGCGTCGCCATGCTCCTGGAAAGGGCGGGGGCCCAGGGATCCCTTCCAGTTTTGTCAGTTGTCCCTGGGTGCCATGTTGGGGGGAGGCCAGCGGAATTCCATTCGATAAATGAGAGGTCAAATCGCATTCTGCGCAGGAGAATGCGTTTCGCGCGTCCCCGCTCGAGGAAAGTGGACGCACCATGTCGGATCTGCGATAAATGACGAGGTCCGCTGGCCTTCGTTTTCCCCCCCTCGAGGATGGCGCGTCCTGCGCGCAGAAATTGTGAGGATGTCTCGGGATGTCTCGAGCGAACCGCTCGTTCTGGAGAAGTGGAGATGCCGTCCCTGTCGCCCCAGTTCTTTTCGCTTCAGGTCGGACCATGCGTGGAAACACGGGGGTCCCTTTCGCCTCAGGGCGCGGCAAGCGTGAAATCACATGGGTCCCTTTCGCTTCAGGGCGGAACAAGGGTGTAAACAGGTGGGTCCGTCCGTTTCGACTCAGGGCGGAGCAAGCGTGACCGAAACTTCCTTACGCTTGCTCCGCTGTCGGACGAAAGGAGCCCACATGCCTTCATGCCTGCCGCGCTCAGGGGCGAACGTGACCCGCGTGTTTTCACTCTTGCTGCGCTCTCGGGCGAAGAGGGGCCCACGTGCTTTCACGCTTGTTCCGCCCTGAAGCGAAATGGGGCCCGTAGGGGGGGGAGGAGGAAGAGGAGGAGTAGGAGGATGAGGAGGAGGAGGAGGAGGAGGGGGGAGGAGGATGAGGAGGAGGACGAGGGGGGGGGGAGGGGGAGGAGGGGGTCTTCACGCCTGCTGCGCTCTGGGGGCGCACGGCGCGCACGCGTTCTCTTACGCTCCCTCCGCCCTGGGGCCAATGAGGGGGCCCACGTGCCGTGGAGCGTCCTCTCCTCCCAGGGGCGGTCCCGCCCTCCCAAGATGTGAGGGAGGGCGCGCAGGCAGAGCACACGGAACGAATCGGCACTCGACGCACACTCCGGAGTTCGTAGCAAAAGGGAGGGGGTCTGGACCCTCCACGGCAAGCCATTTCAGGCCTCCCCCGTTGGAGAAGCCTCCAGACATCGTCCCCAGGCCCCCCAGGCCCTCCAAGATGGCCTGGAAGAGACCCCCCCCCCGAAATGAGATCCTCTCCCCTTCTTACGAAATCTGGAATAATCACGTGGCACGTTCCGTCTTGGGGCTCTTGGGAGGCTTTCTGGGGCTACCTGGAGGGGGCCCACGTGTTTTCACGCTTGTGGCATCCTGGGGCGACGAGGACCCCGCGTGTTCTCATGCTTGCTCCGCTCCGGGGCGACAGAGACGCATGCAATTTCACGCTTGCTGCGCTCTGGGGCGGAAGGCACCCACGTGTTTGCACGCTTGTTCCGCTCTGGGGCGCAAGGAGCCCACTTGTTTTCATTTTTCTTTCGCTCTGGGGCGAGCTTGCGCCGCTCTGGGGCGAAAGGGGCCCATGTGTTGTCACGCTTGCTCCGCTCTGGGGCGAAAGGGGCCCACGTGCTCACGGCGTGCTTGATGCCGCTTCAGCCGACCCATCAGGTTGCCGATTCCGAATCGTGAGGGCGTTTGCACCCGCAGGTTCAAGCCTTGCCGTTCTATTGCGCGGTGAGCCCAGAATTGAGTCGGACACTGAGCTCGCGTTGACGGCGTTCCCTGCGTTTCGATTTGGATCTGCTCGGGGTAAGCCAGGCACCCAGGCAGCGCGAGCTGGAAATCCAATTCAGTTCGGTCGTGGTTTAGACGCCGAAGACGACTTGATCCAAGTATCGAAGCTGATTTTGCGATTCCAGGGTTCCAGGCCGACGCCGTCGGTTTTGCCCCTGCTCATTTCTCGCCCCTCGCGCCTCTGCCCAGCGTTGCACCCGCGGGGTCAGCTGGGCGGGGCCCCGCTATGCCAGGCGCGCACCGTCAAGTTCGCATCAGTCCTTCCTCGCCTCCTCGCCCCCACCCAGCATCGCACCCGCAGGGTCAGCCAGGACAGGCCTCGGTTGTCCCGCAATCCGTCGCGTGTTTCTAGTCGTCGTGAGATTGGAGTGCCGATTTATTCAACAGAGGCGCTGAAACCTCGCATGCTTCATCATCCTTTCTCCCCCGCCTGTCGTTTTTCGCGCTCGGTTCGCTCCGTTGCGGAACTGGATGTCTCGAGCGATGGCTTCGGAATTGCATCGGGTCTTGAGCTCGAACTGGTCGAGCGCACCGCGAGTCTCGACTACAACTAGCCCGAGCTATGCGTTCAGGCAATTCGAGCGTGAGATCCGAATCAGTTCGGCCAGGATTCTGACGCAGAGGACGGCTTGATCCACAATTGCAATAGCGCGCGTCACGGTTCAACGCGGCGTGACACATTGAATTCAACACAGCACGGCACAGCACGGCGCAGCAGGGCCCAGTACAGCACAGCCCGTGGCACGGTACATCACGATCGTTATTTGGAGCGCTGTAATTGCCCGTCGCCCAAGTTTGACGTCTTGGAAACGATGCCGTGCTTCACATTTCTACATCTCTTTCTGGGTTCGTGGGTCGGTCATAATTTGGAGGGGTGCTGTCCCCGATGCGTGGATCTTGCGCCCACGCGCCAGGTCCACGAATCCGTAATCAATGTTAGCGTGCGCCCGATCAGTGCCCTATCTGGGTCTTCGCCCTCTTGAGCCTCCTCGGGGATCCCCTTCCGCGGCCGGATTCGCCCCGGAATCTTAACAGGACGCGCGCTGGAAAATGCCACGGGGGATAGAGTCATCGGCATGGCGGTGGGGGGAGTGTTGGCATTGGCCGAGGGAAGGGATGACGACTGTGAAGCCTGGGGAGTGAGGTGGCATCTTGCACTGGGCTTGTACCACGGGTTTTCTGTTGCAGCTCGGCTTTCAGCTCGAGCGCACGTTCGGTGCCTTGAGGAGCCCTTGCTGCCTCCCAAGCTGTCCGGGACCGTCCTGCTCTGCTCCCCAACGTCCTCCCTCTCCTCCCTTAGCATCCTCACCTGCCTCTTCCTCCTATGCTCCTGCTCTCCTGCCCTCTCCTCCCTGCTCCTCTCAAGCCCCCCCTCTCTTCCCCCCCCCTCCGCTCGTGGTCTTCCGCTGGCCCTCGCTTCGCCTCGCTTTTCGGGCCCCCGTCGGTCCCCTCGTCGCTCTTGCGGCTCTGCTGCCTGGGAGCCAGCGCTTGACTCCGACGGGCCTCCCTCGCTGCCCCCGAGCCGTGGGTCGCCCTCGCCCCGCTGCCCCGCTGCCTGCCCCTCCTGCCGCGCCGCCCCTCCGCCCCGTTGCCTCGCGGCGCGTCCTGGAGGCCGCCTGCGCTTCGGCGCCGCCCGAACATACCCCGCCCGCGAGGGCGCTGCGCCCGCTTGCAAGTCTTCTGGTATAAGCCCCGTGGCGGGCGCTTTCTGGCCCTACCGCTCGGGAGGCGACATACCACAAGATTCTTTGCCGTTTGCTCGGGTGGGACGTGGGTCTCCAACAGAGGCTCACTGTAGTGGTGTGTCCTTATGTGTCCCATTTGGGGGCATGGTGTCTTTTCCTGGAAATGGCCTGAGTCAGAGTCAAGTTTTCTCTGTCTTAGGTAATCTGTCCCCGGTGCCAAGTTCGAAGAGGGCCGGCGGATTTACTCGCGATAAATAGCGAGGTCAAAGAGGGTTGGCTGATTTGTTTTGATGATGTCCCGAGCGAGACGTTGGCTTTTGAAATTCCGATCGATAAAACATATGATGAAGTTATCATTTTCGCCGTCAGCGGATGTCTCGAGCGAAACGCTTGTTTAGCAGAATTGGTCGAGGATGTCTCGAGCGAAACGTTTGTTTGTTCCTATAGGTTGCTCCTCTCTCTTCTCCTGGGGGCCAGGATTCAGAGGATGTCTCAGGTGCAATGCTTGTTTTCACGTGCCCAGGGGGTATCTAACATGGTTGTCCCTAGATGCAACCACGTGTTTTCACGCGTCCAGGCCACCCAGAGGGGGTTATCTAACGTGATGTTCACGATCTGGCACCACGTTTTTTTACATATCCTGACCGCCCAGAAAGGGCTATCTAACATGGTATCCCGAGCTGGAGCCACGTGCTTTTATATGTCCAGGCCACACAGGGAAGTATCTAACATGGTGGTCCCAAGCTGGAGCCACGTGTTTTTTTGTTTACGTGCGCGGGCCACCCGCGGGAGGGTATCTAGCATGTGGTCGTCTGGGATCCCCCAACGTGGGGTGGGGCCCACGAGAGCCAGACAAAATCATCAAATCGACAACAGATGTGTAATGACTCGACAAAGTTTCTTCGGCTGGTGATTTTCCAGATTTCCCACTGAGGCATCTAACATGGTGGTCCCGAGATGGAGCCATGTGTTTTTCACGTGCACAGGCCACCTAGGTGGGTATATCACATGGTAGCCCCAAGCTGGAGCCACGTGTTTTCACTTGCCCAGGCCACCGAGAGAGGTATCTAACATGGTGGCCCTGAGTTGGAGCCTGTTGTTTTCACGTGTCCAGGCCACCCAGGGGGGTAGCTAACATTGTGGTCCCGAGCTGGAGCCACGTGTTTTACGTGTCCAGGCCATCCAGGGATTATCTAACATGGTGGTCCCGAGCTGGAGCCATGTGTTTTTACTTGTCCAGGCCGCCCAGGGCTGGGTATCTAAGATGGATGGCTCTTGCCCCTCGCTGGAACCAGTTGTCTTCACGTGCCCAGGCCGCCCAGAAAGGTATATAACATGGTGGCCCGTGGCTGGAACCACGTGCTGTCACGCGCCCAAGCCACCCAGAGGGGTACGTATCCAACATTGTTGCCCCGACCTGGAAATATGTTTTTTAGTGGCGCGGGCCACCCAAGGGGGGTATCTATCATGTGGTCGTCTGGGCGCTTCCAGCGCCTTTGCCCACAAGAGCCAGACAAAATGAATACAGTCACACTAGATGCGTAATAACCTGACGAAGTTCCTTCGACTGGTGATTTTCCAGATTTCCCACTGGGTTATCTGACATGGTGGCTCGGGAGCCGGCTCAGATGCTGGAGAGATCGGTCATCATCTCTTCCCTGCTCCTGCCTGCTCTGTCCTCTCCTCTTTCCGCGTCCCTTCGCGCTCGTGGCTGGACATCTCGGCTCAATCCTTTTGACGCTCGCACTCTGTCGAGCATGTTTGGGAACCCATCCTTCATTCCTTAGCGTGCCACGCTGGTGGCTCGCATGTGCTGGCTGTCAGCAGCAGGTTCGCGCGGTGGATCGACGCCGCCGAGAGAGTGATTCCGGACCACCATGGTATCGCCCCGCCCCGCAGATCTCGAGGGGCAGGAGTTGCTCTGGAGGTGGTCACGGCGAAGCAGGCGCTACATATACGTGAACAGCCGCTGCGGGACACCGTCGCGGCTTGGTGAAATCGGACCCGACTGTGGCCAAACAGGCTGTTCGCAGCAGGCGCCGTGGCAACGGGGTTCAGCAGTTGTGCAGGCTGGTGGAGGCGGCGCGGGCGCTGGCCGACGGGCTGCCAACAGACGCCACCGCTGCTTTCGTGGGGAATCCCGACTGCGGCTGGCAGGACTTGATGGCGGGGCTTCGTGCGCTGCATGCTCGGCCGCTGGCGAAGCTGGAGGCCGTCGAGGAGGCCGCTTCCCCTTCGGCACGGCGTGCGCAGAACAAGGCAGCAGCCCGTTCTCTGTGAGGATTTCAGGATTGAGTCTCGCAGCCGTCGTCGGTGGGACAGGTACGCCGCTCCATCGAGGGCCCAGAACCCGAGCAGGGCGAGCTGCGCGTGGACGGGTCTGGCGTCGACATCATCGACGCTAAGGTGACTCGCTGGCATCGCGTGTGGCGGGATGGTGGCTCCAGCGAGGAGGACATCCTGCGCGCCTGCGAGCTCGTCCGTGAGCACGCTGAGGCGGAGCAGCTCGAGCCGCTCACGGTTCGCAGGTCAGGGCGGCGCTCGGCAAGATGAGGCCGCGCGCGGGCCAGGGGATTGACTGTCTGTCGCCCGTGGACTTCGCGCGGCTCCCAGACGTGGGCATTCGGGAGCTGTGCGACCTCTTTCAGATGTTCGAGGAGGGCCTCACCTGGCCGCGGCAGGTGGTGTGCGTCCTGGGCTGGGGCGGCTCCTCGGCAAGAAGTCGGGGGGCGACAGGTGCATGGGCCTCCTGCCGATGCCGTGCCGCGTGTGATCGCTCGCGCGAGAGGGGCATGCCCGAGGCCGGGCCACCGGCCAGGATGATTTCTGGGACGCGGCAGTGGCAGGGAACAGTGCCCTCGGCGAGGCGTTCACGAGGGCCCTGGATGACGAGGTGCGCTTGACACTTCGTTTGCCTCGCGGGTATGCCCTTCTCGACGTGGGGGCTTTCTATGTCGGTATACGCATGCCCGCCCTGGCCGCGTGTGCGCTCAAGAAAGGTTTCCCGCCGTCAATTTTGTTTCTGGAGATGCAGATGTTTCTTGCTCCCCTCCTGTTGTTTCAGCTGGGATTTTTTTTCGTTGCCATTCCAGACGTTCAAATCTATCATTCAAGGTTCGCGGAACGGCACTCGTTTCGTCAAGTGTCTTGCAGGGTTCGTGTCAGAAGCTCATGGATGCGCATCCGACAGTGGCCCCCCGCAGATTTGGGCCGATGAACACTCTGAGCGGGTCGCGGGATCAGGGCGTCCTGTTCGCGCGACGCTGGTTAAGGCAGTTGCTGCTACAGTTGGGGATTTTCAGCGGCTCAACCTCGGCATCGTCCAAGAGCGTCGTCGCGTGTGGCCAGCGCGACGACGCTCGGCGGGTTGCGTGGGCCCTGCGGGCACGAAGCACCGCGGCGAAGGCAGTCTGGCGCGCCGCGCCTCGGCGTCGACGTGGGCTCGGGCCGCAGGCTGGCGCGGGGCGCGGCGCGCAGGCGGGTCGCCGAGGCAGGGCGCCCGCGCGAGCGCCTGCGCAGGTTTGCGCGCGCGGCCGCTGGAGAGTCGCGGGACAGATCCAGCGCGCGGGCCCGCAGGCGGCAGCGACGCGCGGGCACCGGGTGCGCGGGCGCTTCGGGCCCGCTGTGCTGTCGCATCGGCGCCGCTTCGGCGCGGCGGCGGGCGGCGGCCCTCGAGGCCGTGGCCTGACGACGCTCCTCGCGCTGCGGCTGCCTGGGGCGGATCCAGGGCTGGCACTGCCGAGGGCTTGCCTTTCTCAGTGGTTCGCGACCTGGCTGGCCCAACCAAGGCTGAGGAGGGCAGTGGCGCTGGCCCGGCCCGGGGCGGTCGAGGCCCCGCAGGGCCTTCCCGTCGCCCAGCGGGCCAGGCATGTTCGAGGCCCCATGTCTTCTGTCATCCTGTGCCTCCTGCGAGCTGGGTGGACTCCTACTTCGGCTGCGGCGTGGCAAGTGACGAGTGACTGGTCGGCAGACTCGCGCGTGGGAGTTCCACGAGGAGTCGCTCGACGATCTGGGCCAGGGGCGGCCGCTCCTGGACGAGATGGAGGCCGCGCTGTCAGCGAAGCAGTGGTGGCAGGCGGCTCAGGACTTCCGCGGGGGCGGTCTCGAGCGCGGCGCTGACCTGCAGAGCCTTCGTCGCTGCGTCGTGTCTCTCCTAGATGCGGGGAAAGGGCGCCAGTTGCCATAGCTCATGGTGTCGATCGCCACAGGGGGTTTCTGGGCTAAACAGAGGAAGTTCGAGGCGCGTGTGGCCGACAGTGACGTGTGTCTGCGTTGTGGAGAAGGCGTCGATGCGCCGATCCATCGGCGCTGGCTTTGCCCGAAAAACTGCGAGCACCCTGCTTTTTCTCTTTCGGGCGAGCTGGTCCCAGAGGCCGCGGCCGAGCAATATTCTTCTCTTGCCTTCTGGATGCGAGGCGTCGCCCTTGCCTCGTGGACCTCTGCGCCGCCCCCGGTTGCCTCCGAGGTCTTCTACGGGGGCGGGGCTCGCTTTTAGGCCATTTCGTAGGCGCTGGCTGTCTTGGGCGAGGCAGCCCCGAGAGCACCGCAGTCCTATTTGGGGGCGCTTCTGGAGGCAGGGGCGCCCGCGACGGGCGTCTCGGGCGCGTGGGTGTCGCCGTGGTTTCTTCTAAATGGGTTCGCGCCGTGCTGCCTAGGAACCCATCCGCTGGGCCCCTTGCGGGGCCCCTCCCAGACCGTCCCGCGCGGGGAGCTGTTAGCTTTCGTTTGGGCTCTGAGGTTCGCGACGGGCCCCGTTGTCTTCGTCGCGGACTGCGCCGAGGTCGCCAGAGGCTGGCGTGATCGTGCCCACTCTCGGCCCGCGGGGCCACGGGCCGACCTCTGGCGTGAGGTCCAGCGGCGTGTCGTCGGCGGAGGGGAGTCTTTCGTTTCTGTCCTCCAGGTGCCCTCGCATCCGACAGGGGCTGACGTTGTTTCGCAGCGTTGGTGGCCGACCTGGCTAGTGCAGGGAACTACTTGTGTAGACGTGCTGGCAGGCGAGGCGGCCACTCCGTGCGAGAGACCCTCAGGAGGGAGGGGCACCGCCTAGCTCGGGTTGAACGCGAAGCCCGTCTTGTAGCGCAGGGGGCTCCCCAGGGTAGGGCTCGAGTCGATGGAGGCCTCGCAGGGGGCTGCGGTTGTTCCGAACTGTCCTGGCCCCCGCCTCCCGCCGCCGTCCCCCCCCAAAGCTGTCGCGCGCTTCGCGTGTGCGCGCGTCCTGGCCGAGGACGGCTGATCGTGCGCAGTTTGCCATGGGTCTGCTCCCAAAAGTACGGAATGCGAATGGCTAAAAAGTGAGTGCTTCCATCTCCTGCCCATTGACTGTAAGATCTTCCAAGTTCCCCCAGGGCGAAATTTACACTTGGCGGGCGGTTGGACGCACCCCACCCACGCTTTGCGGTTTCACGAAGTCTTTGGCGTAAGGTTTTGCGGCTTCTGTGGTTTATTCGGCCAGGTCCGGCTCAGGGGCCTAGGATTTACATGCCGCCCACATCTGATCACCAAGGCCAGACGCGAGTACCTTGACAGGTTAGCTCGCGGTCGGCACCCCAAATCCTGAGCCTGCATCCCTGCAGATCACTACGTGATGGCGGAAGTCCTGGAAATCCTCCACCCCCTCCTCCTTCTCCTCCTTCTCTTCACGTCCTGTCTTCCTTCGCCGTCGTTCGCCCGCCAGGATAGGGGCCATCTGGGTGCTCTCGGGCACCTTCAGCATGATTGCCTCGGCCGCCCTCGCTCCCGAGGTGGGCTCTTTCGTTGCCCTCACGGGCCGTATCGCACCGCTGATTGTTACACCCGTGCGTTGCGCCTTTGCCTCCTGCCTCGCCTCGTTCACCTGCGTCTTCAGTATCTTCCAGCACCATCTCTGGCAGTGATTTGGTCGCCCTCATTCCCCCGTCTCCTCGCCTCGTCCTCGTCCTATTCCCCCCTCCCCCTCCTCATGCTCCTTTTTCTCCTCCCCATGGGCTGGCTCCTCTTCTGTCCAATCTGGTGTCCCTCTGAGCAGCTGCTCCCCCTCGTCACACCACCAAGCGTGCCAGTATGAAAAAAATTGGCATCTGCGCGAGACCGTAGATTTTGCTTGAATGACGCTGGACGCGTCCACCATTTCCGTGGATCAAGGATACGCAGGTTGTTTTCGGTTTCAATGGGTCTGCTGCCCATAACGCCGCCGTGTCTGGTTCGTGGACCAGAGGCCTCTTGCATGCCTCTTGGGGGGGCTCTTGTGTACCTTTGTGGATTTCTGGGCAGAGAGACGGGCAGACTAAATGCTCACTGATGTTCTGCTATCGTTTTCTGCTGTAGTTTCTATGCCGCGTCTGAGAACTCTCAAGAGTGAGAACACGAGAGATAATCATACGTAACGAACGGCGCGTGTGAAAACCTTCAGCCAAGAGAGGAAACCACCCCGACGCCGACACTCTCCTTTTACCAAACGGCCCTGGGCGTTTACTAGACAGCCCTGCCCTACTCGCTTCCTTCCGTGGGCGCGTTTGGTAAATATCTTTGCTCTGTCGGTGCGTGTGCTCACTAGGGGGGTGGATGTTCTGATCTCTACTCAAGAACGGAGAACGGTGGCTGCAGAATGGCTTGCGCTGCCACGGGCGCAGCAGCCCGTGCAGGGCTTGCTCCGGCGCGTGCTGCGACCCTGACCACGACCCTGACGCTGGAGGCCGTCCAGGGGCGTCTTGCGTCTCGTGGGCGTCTTGGGGACCTCCTGCCGGTCTCGGGGGCCACCTCGGGGAGAAGTCTTGCTGACTCCGCTCGAACATTTTGTATACTATGCTCGAAAGCCTTGGGAAATGGACAAGGGTCTTGGTCGTGGGCTTGGTACACAAAATTCCGTCTCTTGGGCATGGTTTTGTATATTGAACGTGGCCCCGTGGGGTGGAATTTGATTCGGTTGGGGAGGATTGACGATATTGGCCTCTTGGGGCATCTCCCAGAGCCTCCAGGACAGCCCAGGAGAGTCCCAAGAAGGCCCCATATGGAACCTTGGTGTCATCCAGCATTGATCTGCAGGCCCTGGAGCCCGTCACGCGCCGCACCGGCAGAGCGGGCAGGGGCCGGGAATGCCCGCGACACCCGTCAGTCGGTTCCAGAGCCCGTTCCGATCCGATCGATCCGATTCGACATCGATTCTGGCCGAAATCGGCGAGAAACCTCCCGCCGTGGTTTATTTTTTCGCGGCGAGATGCGGTCTGTGCGCCTGGCAGAGAGACCTCGCAAGGTGATCAGCGTGGGGGGGTCCGGCGCCCTCTTCGGGCTCTATGGCGCCTTCCTGGGCGACATCGTGCAGAACTGGGAGCGGTACAACCGCCCGTGGCCCGCTGGTCTGCTGCGCGCGCCGGCGCCTCGCCAGGTTTTTTGGGTGGGGGCGGAGGGGGGTCCCCGCCCCCCCCAGAAGGGAGAAGGAGGGATGCGGGAGGCGGAGGGGGTCGAGGGAGGCGGAGGGAGGAGGGAGGGGAGGAGGGAGGAGGGAGGAGGGAGGGGTGGGAGGAGGGAGGTGAAGAGGGAGGATGGAGGAGGGAGTGCCACCAAGCTTGGACTTACAGAGGCCAGGCCCACGCGGTGCTTGAGGCGTAACCCCGGACAATAACCCCATTGCCGGGGGGTCCCCCTGTGTGAGGGTGGGGACCCAGTCGGGTGTCCCCGCGTCGTAGGGGGGAGGAGAAGGGAGGAGAAGGGGAGGAGGGAGGAGGGAGGAGGGGGAAGAGGAGGGGGACGGAAGAGGAGGAGAAGGAGGAGGAGGAGGAGAAGCATGAGGAGACGAATAGTACTAACAATAGTATTATTGTTGTTATTCCTTATGACCATGATCTTATCACTAGTAAGATGACAAGTTTAATCGTAACCATACTACGAATGATGATAATACCAGTAAGAATATCATTACTAGTACTACGACTAATAGTAACATTGATAATAGTATTGGTAAATCGTAGCAATATTGCTAATACCCCTTAATAATACTAGTAATAGCATTGAACATGATATTAATAATGATATTAATAACACTGATCGCTGAACTAGTAGTAAATATCACTAATTCTACTAATGTTGCTAATCATATTCATGATAATAATAATTGCATGGAGGCTTGTTGTAGGCATGGCTGGTGGCGTCCACATTTCCCATCGTACCTCCGATTGCTGCGTGAACCCTGCAGTTGGGGATTTGGGTGAGGTGCCAACTGAGTAGTCGGGGAGGGGTCGTTCAGGGACAGTGCAAGGTGTTGGGCTTCCCCCGCATCTCAGAGAGGCCGCCTTCCGCCTTCCGAAGGGTTTCGTCTGAGAGGCAAACGGGCTCGCTTGGCTCAAGGGCTTTCGGCGGTAAGGCCGGAGGAACAAGCAATGTCTGAGTTCGCAACCGTCTTGTCGCCGAGACTGCAAGCATGTGTGCCCGAAAGGGTACCAGAGACGATGGATTTCGAACGGTACTTGGTGGCTAGGAACCTCCGTTCGATTCTCAAGGTGCGTAGCTGGTTTGATTCACCAGAAGACGCTGTCGCAGAATTGATCGGTGAAACCCGCTGTAGCCCGGCACTGGCCAGGGAGTTTTATGCACAAGTAGAACGAAATACGTCGGCGGTCATCAGAGGACATACTCGCGCGGAGTTGGCTGGACGAGACCGAGTCCGTCTTGGTCCCCCCGAAACATCAGCCGAGCCCGAGTCCACGACCAGCTCTGGAGAGTTACCGTCGATAGTAACCTTTCCCGGGAGGAAGGGGCACACATCTGGAAAAATTGAACAAAACTGACAAGACCGGGAGACTGCAGCGCTGACCAGCCAGGTCGGGTTAGTGCTCGATTTCGCCGGCCACATCGGGGACGCTCAAAGGCCTGAGCTGGGAGGATCAATCGGCTCTCTTGTGCCTGTAGTGGTCAGGAGGGCTTCGGTGGCGACGACGGTGCGATCCCACCTGCGAAACCTTGCGCGGCTGCATAAATGGGCGGAAGCGGCCGGGCCCCAGCAATGGTCGTTGGACGCAACAGATGTCGCGCTGTTTCTCCGCGGCGCCAGCGGTAGAGTGCCGTCAGTGCCGAAGGCGTCCTTCGCGTCGCTGTTGTGGGCGAAGGAAGTAACTTGTGCCAGTTCCCGTGGCCGTTGGAGGGCCCGCTGGTCGAGGCCCAGATATGTATGTCAGGCAAACGGACAGAGCAGCAGCGGCTGCTGGTGAGCCCGCTAGCGAGGGCAATCGTAGATGCCTTGTGAGCAGCTTCCTTGTGGCAGCTGAAGCGCGCGACCCAGCAATTGTAATTGCTATTGGGTTTGTGCTGGCCCTGACGTTTGGTTGCTTTCGTAGGGCTGACCTACAGAGGTCCACGTCCTGCAATACGTCGCGAGACGCGTTTTGCGCGGAATCGTGGAGGTCAAAGAAGAAAATCGACGGAATCGCGTGGGCCGCCTCGCGGAGGGGCAGGGGCGCGATCGGGGTGGACAGTTCCACGCCGCCGTGGCCGGCTCGTGGATCTTGCTGGAGCGGACTTTATCGTCCCAGCGATGGCGGTGGAGCCCGGCAGAAGAGTCGTTCTGAGCCCAGTGCGCTCATGTATATATATATATATATATATATATAGTCTGGCGCGTTGAATGTCAGGCGGCGGGTGCTGCGCGAATTTGGCGGCGTGGCAGACGCTGCCGAGTGGTTGTCGCTGCGCAGTCCCAGATTTTCCTTCCCGACGCTTTCCGGCCTGCGTCGCTTCCCATGGAAGAACGCTGGACATTGGGCAGGTGGGGCCCAGGGCCGGGCATGCCCGTGCGCTGCGATCGCGCGCGCCGTGTAACTGAATTGCTTTTCAAGTGTGACATAGTGGGGCGTGTCCGAGAGATGGGTTCACACCTGCGCTGGATTTTGAAGTCCTTAAATCGCGCGCGCCTTCGGCGCTGGTGCTCAACAGAAACATCGTGATGCTGCACCGCCAATCCGAAGGACAGCCGCGCCGCGCGCGCTGCTCTTTTTGGTGGGCGCAACCGCGGGCGCAAGTGGAGGCGATTCGGGGGGCGCCCGCGTTGGTCTTGGCTGGAGCCCCCCCGCGAGAAGAGCGGCGCTTGTCCAGCGTGCGCGAGAGTCTTCCAGGCCAAGCAGTCCCGCAGCATCGAATCTTAGCGTCGCATGGTAAGGGGCGTGCGCTGGGGCAGTGCGACGCGGCGGTGCGGGGCCGAGAATGCCTGGCCCTGCAAGTGGGGGCGCGCTGGGAGTTAGGCCTGGGCAGATCGCGAAGGTGACTGTCTAGGTCCGACGAGGTCCGACGAGGACTCTGAGGGGGAAATGGGCGATCGTTGGGCCCCGCGCAGGGTCCGCCTAAGTGCACGCACTCTTTGGGAATTGGGCCGTGGTGTGGGCCCCAGGCAGGGTCGGCGTGGCGTAGTGCATGCGCTGTTTGGGAATCGGTGGCAAGCGCCGTCGTCGTCGTTGTCGCGTCTTCTGCCTGCCTCCTCCCCTCTCTCCTCCCTCGCTTGGTGGCAGGGGGTGTGGTGGCAGCAGTGCAGGGGGCGCGCGGGCGATGGGAATTGCGTGGGGGATTGTGGTAGGCAGGGCTGGCGGCGCCCACGCTTCCCATCGGGCTTCCGATTGCTGCGTGAGCCTTGCAGTTGCGGATATGAGTGAGGTGCCGACTGAGTAGTCGGGGAGGGGTCGTTCAGGGGCAGTGAGTGCAAGGTGTCGGGCTTCCCCCGCTTCTCAGAGAGTCAATTTCCGCCTTTGGGGGGCTTTGGCCCATTGGCAGGTGGGTTAGCTTGCCCGCCTGACAGCGCCCCCCACCCCTTTGACAGATAGTATAAGACGAACAGCCCAATGGAAACGACATGTATGCATTCATAAATGCATGCGTATATGTAGCGTGGGCCCAGGCCGATGAGGCGTTTTGTTTTGTCGCTCTGGAGGCCGGGGGGCCGTCGGACACGCGGCGCGCGGACAGGGCGGTTGAGCGCGCGCCCTGTTTGCCGTGTCCTGGCGGATATTTGCCGGCGTCAGAAACTATCTCCTGCCGCGGCATTCTTGTCGAATCTTTCGCGCTCTTCGTCGCGTGGGAGAGAAGCCGCGGCGCCGCCGCGTCGCTGCTCGGTTGTCGCGCGGCTGTGCGCATGCGAGCAGTGATATATAGAGCGTGGGCCCCGTCCGACGAGGAGGTTGCATTTTTGGTCGTTCTGGAGGGCGATGGGCCCTTGGACAGGCGGTTCCCGGGCACGGCAGTGAGCGCGCGCCCTTGTCTGCCCGAGTCGCGACGAAAGGTGGCTGGCGCTGGAGAGCATGCCTTGTGGCCGCATTCTTCGCGAGTTTTTCGCGTCGCGGGGGAGAGAACCAATGGCGCCGCTGCGTCGTTGCTTGGTTGTCGCGTTGCTGCGCGCGTGCATAAATGCGCGTGCGTGCCGGGAGGGGGGCCGTCCTTCCGCGATGTGCCGGCTGCGTCGCTTTCGTCATTTCCGTTGCGGTCTGCGTCCCGGCCGAGCTGTTCGGGGCCGACGCGGCTTGAAAGAGGGCGGCGTCGCCCGAGCTCCGCCAAACTACCGGCCGATGCGAACGAGCTTCTGCGAGCCAAGTTTGGCGCTGGATCTCGATGCTTGCCTGGGCAAGTTGTTTTGCCGACGCGGCGTCGACGACGAGGTGGTTGTGCGCCTAAAGGCGCAGCAGATAGCAACCGTCTGTAAGATCGCAGGCTCTGTGGATTCGAAGGCCGGTGTCGGCGAGGGCATCTGCGCCCCCGCTGGGATGGGCGCCTCCGACGGGCGTGCCAACCAGTAAAGGCGGCGTGGCAAGAGGCCGGAACCTTGGAAATTGGTGAGCTAGAACTTATCAGCGCGGATCAATCGGCGACTGGGGCGACCCCGTGGACCTGGGGGTGCGGGCCGAGAAGACGAACGCTTTTGCGGAGTACTACCGCGTCCATTGCCAGTCCATCTCATCGGAAACGATGCGTAGATGGGGCGCTTGGTGGTGCGCGGGCGCGAGCGGAAGGCACCCGCGGTGCGCGACTTCCGCAGCGCGCGCGCCCTTGACAAAGGCGCCGCGCTGTGCCGGTACGAGGGCAGCGACGCGTCGGCCCGCGCGTTCGCCAGCGAGCACCGCGTCCTCATGGGCGCGATGGCGTTAGTCGCTGCGCCCGAGTGGGCGGCGGCGGATTGGTCGGCGTTGTTGGGCAACCGCGGGCGGGTCGCGCTCGAGACGCGCGAGCCGGAGAACGGGCGTCTCCCCGGCGTGGGGGCCGTGAAGCGCGCAGGCCGGCAGATGCGCGCGACGTGGGTGGACGTCGCGCGCAACGACAACAAGGCGCTCGCGGGGGCCGTGGCGGAGTGCGGGGCCCCTGCGCCAGCCGAGAAGGCCCGCGTGGCCCTCGAGACCGCCGCGGCCGACAGCTCGGGCAAGGATCTCTGCGAGTTTACAGCCGGGACAAGTGCTACTACGGCGACCGGTTCAAGAGCAAGCGCGCCAGCAATGTCGAGGGCTGCGGGTTTGACCGCCAGGCCTGCGACGAGGAGTTCCACCCGTGGCCCCCCGGCGAGGGGGGCCGCTCGCCCTCGGTGGTGGTGGGGGGGCAGGCGAGGCTCGAGCGAAGATGCCTCTGCGCCGCGCGCAGGGCGCCTGAGAGCAGTCGCCGTTGGGCCGTGGGGTGGGCTTCGATGGCGCCCGTGACGTGCCGGCAATGGCGCGCGCGGACCGCGCGATTGCAGGCGGCTAGCAGCCGCAGAGCGCTGGTGCGGCGCCCTTTGCGCGGGGAGGCGATGGGCCTCAGGGGTTCCTGGGGCGCGTGGCAACCCGACGTGGACCCCGAACAGGGTCGGCGTGTCGTAGTGCGCGCGCTGTTTGGGAATCGGTGGCAACCGCCGTCGTCAGCGTCGTCGTCGTCGTCGTCGTCGTCGTCGTCGTCGTCGTCGTCGTCGTCGTCGTCGTCGTCGTCGTTGAGGCGTTTTCTGACTGCCTCCTCTCATCTCTCCTCCTTCGCCTGATAGCAGGGGAAAGAGATTGTAGCAGCAGAGCAGGGAATGTGCGAACGATGAGTATAATGTCAATCGTAATGCAGTACACATGACAATCACATTCTTATTACCGAAAATCGTAGTGCAAATAGTACCAACAAAGAAAATAATAAGAAAAATGAGGACTGGATCAGGAGGATGAGGAGGCGGAGGGGGAGGACCAGTGCAAACTCAAAATGCATCAGCGATGTTTGAGTAAACCCTCTCTCCCAGCTCCCTTTTTCTTGGGCCCCTACAAGGGTTCATGTCCAGTGAGGGAAGTGTCCCGTTTGGAGACAGCCGTTTGAATACCCTGAATCGTACCAGAACATTTTATTCATGGGACATCACCGCCACGAGCCAACCTGATTGTTGTGCTTTGGTGATGCTGAAACGTGCCAGGACACCATGATCGGGATTTCGCCACTACGAATCATTGTAAATGGTGCGCCCTGGCAATTTTGAGCTGGTCCAGAACATCCTCTCTGGCGCGTTGAACCATATAAGCTCATAAGATTTCTTCAAACATTTGAAACACATGTACAATACGCTCATACGATAGACACAGCTTGAACATCACCCGCCCTAGATCATATAATATCTTGCAATGTTGAAAACGAGTTGGCGCGGCGCTAGTGCGATATTCACATGTTGAAAACCACCCGCCCCATCCGTAAAACTCTTGCAATGTGTTGAAACACATGTGCACGGCGCTAAGGCGAGAGCCTTGTTTTGAAAAGGAGCCGCGTCCATTCGTGAAGCTTTGCATCATTTTACGACGAATGTGCGCGGCGCGAAGGCGAGAGCCACATTGCAAAACGGCCCGCCCTCAATCCTTGGAGCTGTTGCAATGGTTTGACGCGGATGTGCGCGGCGCTAATGCGAGAGCCACATGTTGGAAGTGACCCGCCCTCCATCTGAAACTGTTGCCAATGTTCAGGCTTCAGGAGCATACGTGGTAAGGAAGTCTCAAGCGAAACGTCTGGCCCGCCCTTCCGACTAGCCTCGGGCTGTAATTATTATGGAAGAAGCAGGAATGGGAGAGGAGGGTGACGAGGAGGGTGAGGAGGATGATTATGATGATGATGATGATGATGATGATGATGATGATGATGATGATGATGATGATGATGATGATGGTGATGGTGAAGATGAAGATGATGATGATGATGATGATGATGATGATGATGATGATGATGATGATGATGAGGAGGAGGAGGAGGAGGAGGAGGAGGAGGAGGAGATGATGATGATGATGATGATGATGATGATGATGATGATGATGATGAGGAGGAGGAGGAGGAGGAGGAGGAGGAGGATGATGATGATGATGATGATGATGATGATGATGAGGACGGAGGAGAGGAGGACGAGGAGGAGGAGGAAGAGGTGGAGGAGGAGGAGGAGGAGGAGGAGGAAGAGGAGGAAGAGGAGGTAGAGGAGCAAAAGGAGGAGGAGCAGGATGAGGAGGAGGCCCAGGATGATGATGATGAGGAGAAGGAGGAGGAGGAGGAGGAGGAGGAGGAAGAGGAGGAGGAGGAGGAGGAAATATGCGGTGGAGGATTGATGGTGATGACGATGGTGTGGTTCATGATCATGATGACGATGGCGATGATGATCAGGATGACGAGCCCAGCTTCTGCGCGCTGAGTGCCAGGGTGTGGCGGGGTTCGAGACTTTCACTTGGCTGCTCTCGACGGAACGCAGGGCGCGGCCGCATGGCGGAGCGGCGGGGGAGCGCTGTCGTGCCGTGCCTCCGAGCCAGGCGGTTGCTCCTGGGACGCTTCTCCGTCTTCGTGTTCCTCCAGGAGCGCGGCCTTCCCCTCCCGTGTTCTCCTTGGCATCGCTCGGACGTGTGCATTTTTCCTCGGTGACGGCCATAGAGGGGCATCTTGGGTCAGTTTGCGGGAAAGACCAGCCACGAAACCGAACAATGCACGTGGAACGGGTGTCAGAACGATGGCGAGTCCCCAGAGCGAGGAGGGGAAAGGAGAGGCATAAGCAGGGTGGAGCAGTAGTAGTAGTAGTAGTAGTAGTAGTAGTAGTAGTAGTAGTAGTAGTAGTAGTAGTAGTAGTAGTAGTAGTAGTAGTAGTAGTAGTAGTAGTAGTAGTAGTAGTAGTAGTAGTAGCAGTAGCAGTAGTAGTAGTAGTAGTAGTAGTAGTAGTAGTAGTAGTAGTAGTAGTAGTAGTAGTAGTAGTAGTAGTAGTAGTAGTAGTGTAGTAGTAGTAGTAGTAGTAGTAGTAGTAGTAGTAGTAGTAGTAGTAGTAGTAGTAGTAGTAGTAGTAGTAGTAGTAGTAGTAGTAGTAGTAGTAGTGGTGGCAAGGGCCGTATTACGGTCAGTCAGTAGTGGCACTCGGAGCCGAGGGGCCGTTCGGTGGACAGTGTGTCGTTTCTTTATTTGCTGTCAAGGTTCGTGATGCTTGCTACTACGTGTTTGCTGTGGTTGCTTGTCTTGGTTTGCTTGTCGGATGGTTGCTGTTGCTCGACTGCTGCTTTGATCATGTGCGGAGCCTGGCAAGAAGGTTGTTCCGAGGAGCAGGGGGATGATGAGGAAGCGGCTCCGACGACATTGAACAACACACTGTTGCGGTGGCTGGCGCCGCCGTGTCTTCTGCAGAGGTACTCTAAAATGAACTGGGTGTTGCATGTGAGTGGGAACGAACGTGCATCCGCGGCTGCTTGGCTCAAAGCGGCCGGCCGCTCAGATCTGACTACACCTCAGCGCGAAGTGCACCATTTGCCATCGGTACCAAAACTGCTTGAGATGGCTCGCCCCCTACTACTGGGACTATCGTTACTACGGTACACCAGAGCGGGAGCTGGGCTTCGCCTTAGGCGAGGCTGTTTGGGCTTCCCAGCCCCTTTCAAACTTGGTAGCGGAGCTGGCCTATGGTGGTCAGTTCTAGCTTTACTCCTCACTATCCACGGCATTATCTGGTGGACTACTGACGTGGTGGAACATCAGGGTGCAGTGGGTCTGCGCGGAGGAGTGTATATGACTACGCAACATAGCAATGACGCTTGCAGTGACACCTCTGCCTACGCGGCGGAGGCCTCTTCCCTGCGTCTTACATCCCTGCGCTACTACACTCCTGAATTCCACCCACCCACTCCACTTGCAACTTCTTCGAAGACATAATGCATGGAAACATGCGATGCGACATTGTGCCGCCTCCACCCCCCGCATGCCGCAAACCCCAACCGACTACATCCGACTACGACCTGCGAGGCCAACGCGTTGGTACTATCATATTTGGGCACACATGGGTCGCTATCGGGTGTGCGGTAGGACGTATGCGTGGCGGAGACGACACAAGAACGACCGACCCCTACTGGGATCTTTCCGGTCAAGTACCTTTCCGCGAATTCGTCCGCGAGGTGCATGCCTGGATCATTTTGACCACAGGCAACATGACGCCCTCCCAACAAGCTGCAGCCTTGTAGCGAGGCTACCATGGCCATGATAATCCCCCCAGCAGTTATCAATTTCGGCGTTAACATAAGTGGCCGCCATGCTGATGGCGTCACCTACATCCTGTTCCTCTTAAGTACGAAGTTCGAGAATCTAGAAGAGAAGCGCCAATTCGACTCTGGTGCAGCTCTCATAGACTTCCGAGTCCATGCGGGATAACGGATCGACCAGACTTTGTCGCGCTTCGAGATAGCCCGCTATGAAGCTGAAACGGCAGGTTTTACCATCCCCAACTTCCAAATTCTAACAGTTATCTTATTCAGAGCCCCCGGAGTTGGGACATCGCATGCGCAGCAACTCCAGCAGCCACTAAACCACCGCGTGCCGAGGGGCCAGCGACAGTTTGGCTTTCTACTTGAACGCGTGAGTTCATATGCTCACACTGCTGAGAGAACCCCTGGCAATATTGGTGGCATTTTCAGTCGCGGTCGCCGAACCGAGACCTTCCACGTTCAGGCAAATGCAGGGCAACCTGCTAATAACGTCTGGAAAGGCGATTCGCAACCAACAGAGACCACTACACCACTGGCTCAGAATGGTGGTCCGGCTTCGGGGTCGCAAGACTCCCGGGCCAGTGTTCGGGGGCCGCCCGACGCGGTGTCCCCTGCGCAAGCCGCAGCCCTACTGGGCTCAGCTGGGCATCCTGCTGAGTCCGACTTCGACTCTGGTGCTGACGCCGACGCGTCTTCGGACGACGAGGCTACTGCCCTTGCCTACTCCGATATGCCCACGTACCTCGCGGAAGAACAACTGGCGCAATGGTGATTCTTAGGGTGCCAGAAACATAAACGCAGGTGGAGGCGATTTATGGAGAAGCCAGTTCGCGAAGTACGGCGCATCGTCCGACGGGCACTTACTGGGGGAAGGCAAGGGTCGAGGTAGGGGTGGAGGTAAACGGCGGCGATTGCATGGCAGGGGCATGCTGGCATTCCTAGCGTCCCTTACCGGGCCACAGTGCGAGGAGATATTCCTAGGTGCAGGCAGGAACCGTAGGCGTGCATCAGGAAAATGTAAGGGGCGTCGGGGAAAGGCGAAGGATGCCAAGGGTAAAGCTACAGAGTGCGACATATGCCATAGCACGCAGCACTTTCGCCGCGAATGCCCTCAGGGCGATGGGAGAGGCAGGGGTCCGTCGATGCATCTGGCTCAAACTGACTCGGATAGACAGTATGTTGACTGGGGGTCACTTTCGGCCGACCCTGCCAATAGCTCAGTTGCAGTTGTTAACTTCGTGGCTGCCAGATATTTGGGTGCCGGTATGTCCGTCGAGAATCGTGCCGACGGGCTGTTCGAGGAGGTATTCGCTGGCCGCGGTGTTATCGACCTGGCAGACTGGCTGGGCGTGCCCATCGTGGGGCAAGCTGCTGATCTGGGATTTTTCGAGAACTTCCACATGCCCGCCGAAGGAGATGACGAAATGGCGGGGGCGCCCGCGGATTCAGAAGCCATTATTCCTGCGACGGAGGAGGAAATACAGTGGATGTATTATCCTCTGGTTATGGGCAATCCGACTAACACGGAATCGAGTGATGATAACCTTTTGGGGGGGAACCCGCGAGACGTTAGCGATCTGTTTGAGCGCATTCAGTATGGGCTCGGCCGCGACGAAGATTTCAACGTGCACTCGTAGCTTCGGACCGCTCCATGGGCGGTCAGGAGCGACCGGCAAGCCTCCAGTCCTGGAGACGCAAGTATCGCGCCGACGACGATGGCGAAGAGCGGGAAGATGACGCGCGTCTGGTACGGCGCGGTCGGGTCCGCAGTGGCTCGCCCGACCGTGCGCGCTCGCGCTCCAGTGGCGCTCGCTCTCGCGGCCTTCGGCGCCTTCGTCCTCCTGATGCGAGGGAGCCAGGGGCCCCTTCCATGGTAGGTTAATAGACCTGGCGCCCCCCCGAGGAGGGGGCGTCTGCGGGGGCGCCCGCCTCGAGGGGGGGGGCTCCGCGAAGAATATTCAGAAGACGAAATACAGCGCCTTGTTAGCTACTGAGATGCTGGATTGGCTCGGCAGTGCATCGACCAGATACAGTGCAACAATGGTTGGGCAAGGTTTGGACTGAGCGCCGGGTTCGTCGCTGGCATTTTCTTCGCAAGGTTGATCGACGTGAAAATGGCGAGGTCATTCGCGCGGAAAGGACAGGGGCTGTCAAAACACAAGAAGCCCATATAGTAGAGCGCGACCTCAGGAGGGCTATCATCGAGGAGCGGAAACTTTGCAGAGGCGTTGTTTGCGCGTGCTTCGAGTATGTCGACCGCGGGCTCGGCTGCCCCATGGGGCGCCCATCAAGGGGCCCCAGCTTCCGCGAGACACCGTGGGTCTGGTCTCACGGTGATGGTCGGGGCTACTGTGCCGATCCAAATGCAATGCCGTGCAACGAGCAGTTGACGGAAGGCGACTACGAACAGGCTACAGCCCAAGACATATTTCAATCTGTTAGGATATGGAAGAATCTTTCACCTGTTCATTATTGAAAAATATTCAACCGCGATTACAATGCGGGGAAACCTGCTTCGCACAAACCAGAAGAAGACGACCAGCAATCAGATGATGAAGCTGAATATATGGCCGAATCAGTAGACCCCACGGCAGCAGCTCCTGCAGGGTACGCCTCGGATTACTCCGTCGCCGTCTCCATTGTCACGGGCGTCACTTGCGATGCGGACGCCCCCATTGACCCTAGGTGCATCGCCACTAAAGACATGGATGGTTCCCCAGAAAGAAGGGTCGCTCACCGCGATGGCTCTGTAGGTTGGGAAGATAATACTTTTGATAAAAAGGCTTCGCGCTGCTAAATATATCGTGTCCATGAGGGGGAATGCCGCTATCGGGAATATGGCACTCAGAAAGCCTAATGGTGTGGACCGTAACCCTGGCAGAGGGCCCCTGCGATATGGGCCATGGATACCCGCAGGGGCAACGCCGAAAGTGCCTCCTCCCAAGCCGAAGACATATCCGCCTATTGATATTTCTCCATGTTCGGATTCGTCGGGCCAGTCTAAGTCACTCGGACCTGATCAGCTCAGACCACCGCCTACACAAGAAGGGGAAAAAAGCCCAGCTGACCCCAATCTGGAGATAGCAAGCAACAACGAGCTGCGGTGCAACCTGCTGATCGACGTCGATCCAGAGGACCAGCAGTGGCCGCCGCAGCAGCTGCATTTCAAGGCGCCATCACGAAGGACCCTGTGCCACGTCGCGGCCCTGCGCCTGGCCGGACACACATGACTGGCTGGGCGCCGACATTGGAGGGATCATCAAAAAAAGCTTCTTCATCGCGGCGTGGTGCCGATAAGAGGCCACTGGGAACTGCGTCGAAGGCGTCGGGGGCAACTCCCAC